GAGATGATGTATGAATATTATTAAAGGCTTCAATAAATCATGTTTTAGCATCCGCATGGATTGATTGAGAAAGAGGAGCGGTTGATGAATTGAATAATCCTTCTTAGCCTTGGATGTTCGTCACGTGATTTTGGTTTAGTAGCCCCACACTGTCTCATTTTCTCCATACCAATACTTTTAATCCTTCCATTATTACTTCCTACACAAACACCACCTTATTTGGTAGCCCATCAATTTGGAATTTGGTTCATATTTGAATGAACTACATCAATTTTCCTCAAATTTATTTTATTTTATTTTTTTTAATGAAATTTTAGTACTTCCGCGCACTTCTATATGTAAGACCGAGAGTGTGAATTTAAGTTTTAGGTTGCGTATCGCGTACGTTTTCATTAGAAGGTATTTTCGTCATAAATTAATAACTTTAGTCAAGCTCAGATTAAGTTATTCCGGCTCATAAATTAGAATACATCTTTAATTACTATTTAAACTTATGTTATAATTTATTTAAACACTTAAATAACCTTAATTTTTAATTCAAATATATCAAAATAATTTCTTAAGAGAAAAGAACAATTCCACTAAGAGTTTCGAAAAAAATATATATATATATCAGATTAATTTATGTGACATGTTAGGTTCAATTATTTATGTAATAGTTGATTAAACAATCAATTTTAGTGAAATTGGCTAAACTTTATTTCTCAATTATATTAAAACCTAACAACATGCTATCACTCCTAGAAAACATGAAAATAATTTCTTAAGAGAAAAAATTATTTTTATCCAAATATTATAAATAGAAATATTCTTTTTATTGATGTCCCGTAAAGATTAAAGGTAGAATAATGTCAAACTATAATTATTCATCATTATGACCCAGTAATATATAGATGGTATTTATTTCTCAGTCTATATTGAATGAATCAAAAGTTTTTTGGTTAAATCATTAATCCAAGTTTAGTCTTGATCCCATTTGATTCGAATCAAATAAAAATATAATATATGTATAATATATATATATATATATATATATAATAGAGACTACACTCATCTTCTCCCACTCCTCTCATTGTCACGTAGCTACATATAGTCTTAGTCACATTCATACAATCGTAGCCACACAACCTCAATTGTGTAACCATTATGAATAATAATTCCATAAAAGTTCTTCATAATACTTAAATATTGATTAGGTGTGGATATAACGTAATTTGATGCACTAGTATTTATGATATAAGATATACTGGTGTGAATTTTGAGTTCTACCGAATAAATAAAGAGACAGAAGTACATACCTAAAGAAAAACTAGAGACACTCAACCCCCAAAGAAAAGTGGTAGATGATTATACCATGTTCACTGATGAATGGTTCTATTACAACAGTGTCATTAGCTGCTCATACTATTCTTATGTGATGGGTGATTACTTTTTTACACTCTTTTTGCTTCTGTGGAGAAAATACCCACACTTAATTGGGAATTAACATATTAATCCTCTCATATAGCTTATGTGCCTTCGGATACTCATTAAATTTATAACATGCATCAATAATATAACCAGGTGCATTCTGATGAGAACAAAACCTGTATATTTAAATTGGCCTTGTAGCATTATTTTACTGTATGGCTTGTAGTCTCATAGTGAAAGCACTCATGACTTGTGCTACTTCATCTAAACACTATATTTGATTCCTTGGCATTGAAGACTAAGTTTCTACTCCCTGTGTTATCTAACAAGATTTTGTTCAATTTTCTTCCTCTTGGACTAGTGAATACATTTCATTTAAACTAAAGAATAATTTAATTAATAGTATTTGTGCCTTAATGGCCTTATATGATTCATCTAACCTCATGAGAAATTTATAACACAATCCTTCTATTAGTACTCAAGTGCTATCTTTAAACCTCTGCATGTACAATTAGGAATGGATTTGTAATTCAATAGTTCATCAAATAAAGCTTTTAGCTTTGAAAAATAAACATTCACACTACCTGATTCTACATGAGTTTAGAAATAGTCTGTCTTAACTCATAAATCCTAGGAGTATTGAGTTGTGCATGTCTCTATTCGAGCTCTACCAAAAATTAGTAGTTCGTTTTTGCATAAAATATACTACATTTGATGTCACTTGAAAAAACATTTTGTATCCATGTAATCACAATATGATTACAATGTAACTAGTGTTCTATCAGCAAACTAGACGGATATGTTTGTTCTTTAAGGTTCCGTTGATAAACTGTAACTTATTTCTAATTCTAAGGGCTTGTCTCATAGACCTGCCCAAGGATGATAATTATTTGCATTCAAAAAATGTGTTACCAAAAAAACACTCGAGCTATCATCTATTTTAGTATAATACGAATCATTTAAGCGGGGTGGATCGAGCAGATATTTATTCAAGAAAGTAGTACCATAAGAGATATTTAAGTTCTCACTACTCATAAGTCAATACAATGATATTATATAAGATCTCTAATAATAAATGATAATATTAAAGATGGTTAAAGGTATCTTACCAACAATGAAGCACACAATAGATCAGTCTTTAGAAAGAAAACATTCTCCAACTCTATAAATCTAGAATAGTAAAACTCTTTCAAGAGAAATTTGAAGATGAATATGAAAAGGAAAAGCAAGAAGACTTAACAAAAAAAAAAAAGCTTCATATATAAAAATTCAAAAAATAAATTAAGAGTCCAATGTTTTTAGCGGCAAGGGTTATAAGTGTTCATGTTATTAAGTAAATGTTAATTTACAGGCTACCTCTCTAAGATTTGATTTATTTTTTTCTTTTTTTGACAAGATTGTTAATTTTAACGTGAATAATTTGCCTTTGACTAAACTTTGAAAAAGAAAAAAGTTTAATATTGGTACAGAAAAGTTAAATCAAACTTATTGTGACCATTAAATTTGAATTAGAAATATAATATATATATATACATATATATATATATATAGAGAGAGAGACAATTAAATAGGTTAGGGCATAACACAACTACCTATCAACTAGAAGTATACCCTACTGACTGTCCTGATGGTCCCACAAATTAAGGAAATTACAATTATAATTACAATATTATAAAAGTGATATATATTTGCAAATGGCAGAGAAAATAAAATTGTTTTATAAAGAAACCTCAAGAAACCTCTAAATATTTTACTTACAAAAATATTAAGTTTGTAAAAGAGTCAAGAGCTTATTTTCCAAAAAAGCATGCGGGAGCTTTCATGCAGAGACAGTATGAAACAATGATGTCGACCCTATCAGATCACGTCCACTTACTACAAAACTCCTTTCCGACATCCATCAATCCATCCATCTATATGATACACAATATATATATATAGACGTATACATACATACTCCCTGACAAATATATATACACACACACACCAAACCTTGTTACCAGAATTATATACATACACTTCTAGTTGAGAGAATGGGTAGACATTCTTATAATTACAACAAGGGTGATCTCCTTCTTATGGTTTTTATACTCGCTTGCTTCATTACAGCAACTGCAACAGGTATAGTTATTGGGTTTTATAAACATATAATATATACATATATATATGTGTATGTACGTGTGTAGATATATATATATATATTTAAGGTTTTATTTACACATGCAGCAAGGAAATTGAGTAATACTTGGGTAGACCATGAGAAGAGGAATCATGTTGAACCAAGAGTAGAGGAGAATATTGTTGATGATGTAGTGGTTATGGATTACACTCCAGCGGAAAAAAAGCCTCCAATCCACAACTAAACCTACTTTTCTTATGGCTACCTACTAATATTTACTTCTCTTTATTCATTTCCAACACAAGATATTTATATCAATCCACATTTTCTATGTAATACATATACATATAGATAGATTCATGAAAAAGCTTCTATATTACAGTTATATTACCTTGGTTTGTCAATGAACGATGAACTATTATAATCTTTCTCTGAATTTGTAGCATATACATGTATTAAAACATAAATTTGATAGAATTTAGCATATGTCTCTGGTTCTAATTTCATATAAGCAACTCTATGTGAGCTTAATTTTTCTCATTCTGAATAAAATTTTTATTATTTTTTTAATTAAAATAAAAAGAAGAATTTACAAATGAATTCCAAATGGCTCAAACTAAATATAGTGTAAACATACAACATTTTTATCTTGGAAAAGCACAAACAAAAGTAGAAAGGAAATATCACATTCGAGAGAATTTAATACAAAATGATATTTCACTAGCTTCATATGAAATAACAATTTTGAAAAATTACTTGAAATGACCACCTTTTTATAAATTAGTTCAATAGAATTTACAATCATTCTAAATTTTAAAAATATGAATTTACAAACAAATCTTCATCATATCAACATACTTTATTGTTTAAGAAAAATTTCACTTACTTATTATTTAATACAAGTAATTATCGGATTTACCATGATTTTTTTTACTATCATCTAACTATTACTGAATCTTTTACATCTATTCAATATATAATGATTTCAGATAATTTTGGTTGGTCAATCTGATCTATTCATCGATGGTCAGTAAATATAATGGTTGTAATGATGATCCTACACTTATTTCGTATTTATCTTATTAGTGGTTTTAAAAAATGAATTGACTTAGGTCAATAGCGTGGTTCAATTTGGACTTGCCTATATTTTACGTATCGAAACTGAAATGTGCTCATGCATATAATGAGCAAACCAAGTCGTATATTTGTTGAATTAGTTTCTTGTTCCAAAATGTAGAATTCTTAAAAGGGGGAGCAAATAATGTATCTAAAGAAAGGGAGTCCCATATACGAGACTTATTGTATTTCTAACATAAAGTTGTTGCAAAATAGTAAAAATTGATTATTAATTTCTAACATAAAGGTGTTGCAAAATAGTAAAAATTGATGATTACAGAAATTAAATGAATCAGTAGGTAGACATTTTGATTGAAGGGTCCTACCAAGGCGAACAAAAGTCAGACAACACTCATCTGCAAAAGCTTCACTTTCTGATTACAAATAAGTGTCCAAATAATTCAGTGTTTGATTTTCTCAAGTCAAAATCAAATCTTGTCAATTGACGACATGAGTCAAAATCATAGACATATCTGTGCTCCCCAACCTTAAAAAAACCAGAACAAACAATGCTTCCTGCTGCTATTTTGTATGGAAGATGAATTTTAAAAGTAGCTATTTGAAAAGTAGCCAATAATGCTCTGACAGATAGCGGAACTGTAATTTTAAACTAAACTACAATTGTTCCACAGCTTGCCCTGTAAAATTCTCAATTTTCTCCGCACAATCTTTTCAGCTGAGATAACTTTTCGACACAAACAAAACACAAAGCACCCCACAAGCATAATATCCACCGTACTTCTCTTTATGACTTTATAACAATCATACTCTGCCTAGATAAATTTTTTACAAATCAGAACATTTGAATTGATTCTCCACAATCGGAGGAATACGTATTTTATGAATTGAGTTGATCAGTTTCGTGTTTGTGCATATAATCGCCATGGTGGAATATGCTCATGCCCTTTTGCCTGCACTTCCCTCCTGTGATTTTTTTTATTTGAGATTTCAAATGGCCAGACTTCCTAACAGACAGAAGTACAAGCTCTAGAAGTTGTGAATGCTTCAAACTATTTTTACCCCATCCCTTAAAGGGTTGATTACTTTGGAGTTGAGGTTGAAGAAGCAGCTTTTGGCAGCGGAAGACATAATTTTCAATAACAAATAAGAAGTGCTGTTTTCAACCTTCTATAACCCTCTCATAGAAAAGCAAGCTAGCCTCTGCTGCAAGAACATCATTTTCAGAAACTACAGATACGTCAGAATCTGATATACAAAACCATCGCAAAGTAGAAGCCTCGGAATCATCCTGAGACTCCATTTTGTGTGCCATGGCTTTCCCACTTCTGTAAACAGTATAATGTCCGCCTCCAGCTCTTCCAAAATGTTCCACGACAGAAACAAGACGATATAAATGAATTTTTGAAACTCCTCTCTCGCAAATCCTATTCACCTGCATTGCAGGGACACCACATAAGACATCATACAAAAGCCACCAACATCTAACTTCTTTCAAAGTCAATTTCATATTATAGCAGCTAGTTCAGTACAAGTGGTAGTTTCAGAAGAGAATATATTAACCACAACTTAAGATCCTAGGTCAAGGAAAAACACATGGAGAGATAAACTCATTGCTTGCCTTCACCATCCTAAGACTGGACAATCACTTCATTATTAGCCAATTGTAAAAATCAATGAGGCCTTTGTCCACCTAGTGCTATGGTATTGTACAACCACCATTTACGCAGAACATCTGCAGTTACAGACAATACAATCGACGAACTGCTTTCCATAAAATTATATTCTTTAATTAACTGAAACTATATAGTTAACAACTGGCCAACAATTCTTAGAATGAAGATCCAAGCAGATACCAAGAGGCTTAAGACAACACAACCATCAACTTGTACCAAGAGGCTTAGGACAACACAACCATCAACTTGAAGGTCAGGAAACAGTAAACAAAAGAAACAAAAGGAGCTAGTTCAAGAAATCATGAAAGTAACAAAAAGGATTTTTTTATTTAGAATTTTCTTTAGACATATGTTTATGTTAGGTTGTCTACATATAGTACTTAAGTATAAATCAAATATTAAAAAAGAAACAGTTTTCTAAAAGTTACTGAAATTTTAATGTTTTTAAACTCGTGCCAAATTTTTACTTCTATTTTTTAAATATTATTTTCATTTTCATCCACTAAAACAGTTTATGTATAAATAAGAGTATAGAAAGCAAAATATTAAAAATGTATTTATGTACCAACATCAGTCTAAGCCTCTACTGCTACATCACATACTTATCCACTCCTTGCCTACATGCTAGTTATAATATATACCCATCACTGTAAAGTCTACATCGCCATAAATTTTAAGAGTGCATGCTTTTGAAGGACAATAACTCTTCTTTGAAAGTCTGCTACTAACAATTTCAAATCCAACCACACACAAATATTAACAGTAATTTGACTAACCTTGTTATATTGCATGTTAATATCTGTATTCACAGTTTTTAAACAGCCTTCAGTTGCAGACAAGCCTTCTACCACAAAAGCTTCCGCAGGTTTAGCGCATCCAAATTCATCTCTAGCCATTTCTTCTAGATGAATATTTTCACCCATAGGCCTAAAAATATGATTTGGCATTCCTGCATCAAATTTCATATTAAAGTGATTGAGATGAAGGCTGGGTTTTCGGTCTTGCTGCTTCACCTGCCCAATTTGTGCCCTTTCTTCCCATTTCTTAATTCCCACTCCAGAAGTCATAAATGGAGACAGGTTCAAAGACAATGGGAAAGGAATATGGCCCTGAAATCATCAACATAGAAATCTGTCATCCACACAAAACCATTGTCCCTCCAGTGCAAAATACAGAAACTTCTGCAATGCAGAGAAAATTGAAAGTTAGAAGTGGAATAACATAGAAATCCAAGTACCTGCAGTTTTACTGGTTCTCCCAACAGATTTATTGAAGCACGTTGTAAATGAATGCACAAAATCTGTAACCACATGATATGAGTATGCTCACTACGGGGTTAGGACCGATAAACAGATTCCAGAGAAATAAAGAAAACATGCATTTTATGTCTTTAAGCAAAAGAAAATAAATAAACAAGATGAATAGATAAAGGAGTGACTTCAGCAAAGTAGTACAATTTTCTGAAGAACAATTAAATCTCAAAACAAAAGCAAATGCAGATTGAAAAAATTCATACCTACGCTTTGACACCTTTTAAGGATAGGTAAGGGTCAAAGGCTAAAATAAAACTTCACTAATGCAGACATACCATAAATACCAAGTCCGTCAAGGTAATGGCAAGGATCTGACTTCCATATGTATTTTTGTGGGTGAAAAATCAATCTCATGGTATAACTTTTAGGATTCAACCACACTGGCCTACTATTACTAAACTTTAGTAGTAATTGATGTAGGACAAGAAAGAATAAAAGATGAATACTGGTGAAATGTAAGGTTGGTGAAAAGCAATTAAAAATGGCTTCTTTCTATGTAGGAATTTCACCTGCTGTCCGATTCCTCAGCATAACCTAGCAAAGAACTCGATTACTGTTTCTTCACCTTATGGAATCAAAAACAATTCCAAGGGTAAATCACATTTATGAGAGATATTGGTGACTGGCAAAAGCACAACCTATTCCATACTTCTTTACACCAATCAAGGTTGGTGGGTGTACAAGTCAGCAATGAGATTCCATGAGATCACATAGGAGACTTAAACAATTTGTGTCCTCATACTGCCTTCAATCAAATTTTGCATCACCAGCCAGAGTGGAGCCGCTAAGAGAATGCACATCTCGATATGTATAGTCCACCACGTGTTACTACACTCAAACAACGGGTAGTTATTTGATGAATGCTCATAATTTGGCATAGATGGAACCGAATCAGTCTCCAACAAAAGTGATGCTTAAAAACCTGGCACTGAATTTTCAGGCTCAGCTGGTTCAAGACTCTATTCAAGCCCGGATCTAAGCCTGTTTCTGCTATTCAGTCCAGCTCAAGCTCGTGAATACACACTCAAAAGCTTGTGAGCATGTTCATTTAAATATAAAAAACTAAATATTTATAAATAATATAAATATATGATCACAAGATCAAGCTCAAGCTCAAGCTCAAGCTCAAGCTCAAGCTCAAGCTCTAATATCTTTGAAACTGAGCTCAAGTTCAAACTCAGCAAGGCTTTGAACCCCAGGAACCAATCATTATCCATCTAGGAGAAAGAACTTTTGGCAATCATTCTGATGCTCACCAAATGGAGACACTACCTAGAGGGCTCCCATTTCATCATTTCAACTTACCAGCTGAGCATCAAATACTTATTGGAAGAAAGAGTCCACACTGTCATCCAGAAAAGGGTGTAGCAAGACTCTTGAGGTTGAGCTATATCATGCAATACAAAAGAGGAAAGGAAAACAGTGGCAGATGGATTATCCAGGAGAGAGCTTCATGTTGAAGGGGAGCTTAACGGGATTACAGCAACCAAAATTTTTTCACGGACGCAAGAAGTAAGCCAGTCATACGAGAAGGTGTAGCAAGACTGTTGAGATTGAGCTATACTAATGTGAGCATGGATATGGACCCTAAAGAGAAGGCCTAATCCAAAGGAAGAGGAAAACAAGTCCAACGATCCAAGAACATAATGGTATTTATATTTCAATCAAGTGGAAGAGGGAATCAAGCAAGAAAAGATAAGACTTTTAAAGAACCAAATCAATTGTATAAATTAAATCTTGCTTTAATTGAAAATTAATAAAAATTAAGATTTTGACTAACTATATTACCCATGTCCTTACTTTATAAATAAGTTTTCAATTTCTAATTGTAACCATTCAAATTTTCATCAATAAAATTAAAGAGTTTATTTTCAACTAAATAAAGTCTCTCAACCTTCTTGTTGAGTAAGGATTAAATCAATTTATCAAGGTATTCTTGTAGCATTTTTCTATTCTTTTAATTTCCTAATAATTTTAGTTTCTATCCCTCTATTTATAGTGGGTTAAGCAGGGAGGGTTTTTGATGGGAAACCCAAGATCAACCAACCTGATCAGGAACTCACACAATTTCATTTAAGGTACCAGAGAAATTTGATCCTATGAAAACCCTCCTTATTTAACTCTTTATCAATAATGATAGAAACTAAGATTACTGAAAAATTGAGAATTAAAAGAAGAATGAAAAAATGCCATAAAAAATTATCTTAATAAATAGATCCATTTTTTACTCAACAAGAAGGATAAATACACTTTTCTTAAATAAAACTCACAATATTATTGATTTTAATCTTAAATGCTTACAATGAAAACTTAATGATCTATTTATAAGGTAAA